CAAAATAATCTGGTACTGGCTAAGAAATAGAAAGGTGAATCAGTGGAAGACATTCAATACATAGTAGCAAATGATTATAATAACCTCGTGTTTGAAAATATAAAGATTTAAGCTTTTGGAATAAGAATATATTATTTAGTAAAAAAAATTGTTGGGAAAACTGAAAAGCAGTCTGGCAGAAATTGGGCACAATTACAAAATTTACCAAGATAAGGTCAAAATGGATACCTGGCCTAGATATAAAGGGAGATGTCATAAGAAAACTAGAAGAACATCAGACTTAGGGATAGGAGAATTTATGAATAAAGGGGAGACCTAGAGCATTGCAAAATGCAAAATGGATAATTTTGATTATATTAAATTGAAAAGATTTTGTATAAATAAAACCACCATAGCCCAGTTTAGAAGGAAAGCAAAAAATTGGGGAAAAAATTTTAAAGACAGTTTCTCACATAAAAAGAATTTTGTCAAATTTATAAGAATATGAGTCACTCCCCAATTGATGAATGGTCAAAAGATATGAACAGACATAGCTTTTTGATGGAGAAATCAAAACTATATATAGTCATATAAAAATGCTTTAAGTCATTATTGATTAGATTAAATTAAATCATTATTGATTAAATTAAAACAACTCTGAGATATCATCTCATATCTATCAGATTGGCTAAAATGACTGAAGAAGAAAATTACAAATGTTGGAGGGGATAAGGAAAAATCAGGACACGTGTGTCAGTGTGAACTGATCCAACCATTTTGGAGAGCAATCTGGAATTATGCCCAAAGAGCTACAACATTGTGTATACCCTCTGATCCAGCAATATCATTATTAGGTCTGTTTCCCAAGTTGATCAGGGAAAAAGGAAAAGAACCTATAAATTCTAAAATATTTATAGCAGCTCTCTTTGTAGTGGCAATGAACTGTAAATTGAGAGAATGCTCATCAATTGGGGAATATTATTTCAATGGAATACTACTATGCTATAAGAAATGATGACCTGGTTGATCTTAGAAAAACATGGAAAGACTATAAAATAATGAAATGTGAAGTGAGCAGATCCAAGAGAACATGGTATATAGTAACAGCAACATTGTTTGAAGAATTAACTGTGAACAACCAAGTTATTCTGAGTGCTATAAATACTCAAATCAACTATAAAGGACCCATGAAGGAAGACACTATCCATGTCCAGAGAAAGAACCGATAAGTAGAATTACACACAGTATGGTTTTACATATATTTACAAATCTGTGTCAAATGGTGGCCTTTTCTAGTGCAGGGTGGGGAGGAAGGGTGACAGTCTGGAATATAAAATGTAACCAAAATTTTTTTTTAAATAAATAGATTGAACCCTCCCCCCCCATACACATAAATATTCCTGCATTGGCCACATCCAAAAAAGATGCCCTAGTATGCACTGTGAGTTCATCACCTTTCTATCAGGAGGACAGCATGCTTCTTCCCAAGTCCTGTGGAATCCTGTTTAGTCATTTTAATGATCAATTTACTTTCCCCTATTTATGAAGAAGAGAGTGATAAGAAAGGGATGTGCTTAGCACTACTGCAATCTGTTGGATGAAATCTGCTTCTATTCTTCTGCTCTTCTATTGCAACAGACTCAAGTCTCCTCCCTCTTTAATCCATCCTCCAGGTCTGAACAAGTCTCTCCTCTACTCAATAAACTCCAATGGCTCCTTATTGACTTTAGGATAAAATATGGGGTCCTCTGGCTTTAAAAGCCCTTTAAAACCTCAACTTACCCTTCCATCCTGTTATATATTACTTGTGTGTGTGTACACACATGCATGTATATATCACACATGCAAAATAAATACATTATAATTTTGTGAAAATGCAAGATAATTTCGGGGGTATGGTCAAGCAGTTGGGGGGATCAGGAAAGGCTTCATTTAGAAGGTGGTACTTGAGTAGAGTTTTGAAAGAAACAAGGGATTCTAGAGGTAGAAATGACAAAGAGAATTTGAACATTGGGGACAGCCAATGCTGACTGCAAATACAGTTGCTATAGTAAGCCTTCATATTGTTTTCCCTTATAGAAAGTAAGCTTCTTGAGGCCAGAGACCATTTCATGTTTGTATTTCTACACCTAGCATAGTGCCTAGTCTAGCACTCGGATGACATGTAATAAATGCTTGTTGATTGAGAGTCAAATTCACCTCTACCTCTTTGATGAGGTACTGAGTAGGACTGTATGGAGATGCTTAATAAAAGCTTTTTTTTAAAAAAAAGTTCTTTTTTTTAATGTCTGAAATGCAAGAAGGTTAGGAGGGAAAGTCTTCCAGATATTTTTGGTGATAGAGTGGCTCCCCAATTTTAGATATAAGTCAACTACTTTAGAGCATACTTCCTATGCTCTGTTCTTTCTTCTCTTTTCTCTATATTTCCCTTCCCTTCCAGCTCAAACCTAAACTGAATGTCTGTAAGGGGTGGGGTACAGCTGGGGGAAAATAGAAGCATTTATGTTTTATTTATCCCATGTCATATACTGCTCTGTATAGCTGAACAGGGAACACTTCATCCTAATTCTTAAGTAGCTAATCTATTTTGCAGGCTATCTTTAGAGTTTCAAGAGAGATGGCCTCCTTTCCTCTAGCTCTTATCTTCTCCCCTATTTCCCAGGCTAGCTTGACCTTATTTTTAGTAAACTTGGTTGTAGAAGATAAATAAAAATGTAGTTCAGTCATGTCTGACTCTTTGTGACCCCTTTTAGGGTTTTCTTGGCAAAGGTACTGGAGCGGTTTGCCATTTCCTTCTCTAACTCATTTTATAATGAGGAAACTGAGGAAAAGAGTGTTACGTGACTTGCCCAGGGTCACACAGCTAGGACATAGCTGAGGTTGAATTTGAACTGAGGCCTTCCTGCCCAAAAAAATAGAAATAATTCTGTATTATTTGTTTTGACAGGTTTTTTTTGCTATTGCCAATAATTTACTGGTATATTTTTATGTTTGCTATCACTATATCCTTATCATTTATATTTGAGCCTTCCCTTGTTTATCCTCTCCAACAACTGGCCTTCAGTAGATGAATGTACAATCTTAAGGATGATTATGCTTTTGATTTATCATTACTACATGTTTGGTTTGGAACTACTTTTCTAATCATGAGTTGCATTTGTTTTGATTCCAACTCATACTATCTTGTCTTCTCTCCACTATTAACAATATATATTTTCAAAATGGCTCACTGAAATTAAATTGTTATTATTGCTATCAAATACTAGCAGTGACTAATAGGGAACACCCCCCCACCTCACCCCCACGACTAACTTTGGCCTTTCTAACTCTATGCATGACTTAACCTTCTCTGCTAGACCAATAATGATAGCTGCTGCCTGATTCATCTAGGTTGTAATGTGTATCCCCCCCCCAACGGCACATCAGAAATGTATTTTTGGCATTTGGCTTTATCCAAATTAGCACTTTATTATAACTCGTACTGTATGTTCTACCACAGCCTTAAATCTGACTTTCATTACATGTGTTTGTTCATCCTCTTCATCACTTAGCATAGTGCCCATTCCATCGCAAACACTTAAATACTTGGAATCATAGAACTTTCTGAGAAATGTCATAATGTATGTAAAAACATTTTGAAAAACTGGCTACAAGTAGAATTATCATGGTGATTTAGTTCAAAGCCTCTCCCATTGTCATTTTCAAATGAGAAAACTGAGCCCTAAGCAATGGCAGTTCCCCATCTGAATCCCCAGTCACACAGTTTTTGTAATAAGTCTGGGAATCAGTACATAGCAAACCTATCTCCTTGCTTCTGAATGAATAAAACAGAGATTTTAAATACAAAAGTCAGGGAATTCTCGAGGAATCACATCTTGAAGAGGAAGGAAGGGGGCCTGATCACTGAGGGTCAAAGATAGGAGGCCAAACTGCTGTCAGAAAAATGTATTAACATGATATAGAAGACTGTTTGCTGACAGCAGTTTCAGCTTCGAGGATATAGGTTTTTTAAACTTTTCAGGCTCACTTAAGAGTATACAGACAAATCAGCAGCATTCTGTAGCAGCTTAGGATAGAAAAATTAACAATTCTCAAGTGAGAGAGAAGAAAAAAGGAGAATCAGCTAAGGTAAAAGAGGGGTTTTGGAAGAATATTTGCCATGAAGCTGGCAAGATTTGTTATCAGAATGAGAAAACATTCCTTTTGAAGGGCAGGGTTCTGAGGAGGTGACCAACTACTTACATAATTGTTAAGGAAGTCCACTTAGACAAAACTCAGGTGTCTCTTATCCAAAGACAACAAATATTTGTCACAACAGTGACCAAGACTATTTGCTTTACATTGTCCTTGCAATTCTTTGTTATATTTTATTTCTCCTTCAGTAGTGGTTGAAGAATTTCTACTATCAGGCCACCAGGTTGGGGGGGGGGTGTTCCACATTGCTAGTCCATCAATGTTTTGAAATGATTGTGGGTGCTATTTTTCCCCTCATACCAAACAATGTATCAGGAAGAAGTGTTAGAGATCACCTGGTCCAACTTCCTCATTTAGACCTGAGGTCCAGAGAAGTTAAGTCACTTGCCTCAGGACACACTAGTGACAGGACACAGAGAGAGACAGGATCTGAATCCCCGTGCAGCTCTTCCCACCATGCCCGTCTGCTTAGTATAGCTGAATTTCCCGCAGCTTGTTATCACGGTGTATTTTACAAGTTAACGTACAAATAGTACAACTATTCTTACAAGGATAATCTCTGCAAGAATTTTTCCGAATTAAAAATCAGTCCTCATAACTTAGTACCAGTCAAGTTGGGATCTAGAGCCAGGAAGTCAATTGTTAAATTGTATGTACATTTACACCTCCTAAAACTACAAACCAAGGTTTGGTTTATTATACCGTTTATTATCTAGACTTAAGAAAGTAATAAAGAAAGTATTAGTAATGCAAATTAAATCTAAGATTGTGAGTGTGCAATTCCCACCCCACCCTCCACGAAAAGAGTGGGTTGTTGAAACGTTTACCAGCACACCGCTGAGCCAGGGTCTCTTGCCCACTTTCACACCTCGGCTCACTATCTAACTCTAGGGCTTGTGGCATGGAAGAACTCGGAAATCTGAGGACGCGAGTGAAATAGAGCAAGGGCAGTCAGAAGCAGCGTCACCTCCCCACCGCGCCCGGTCTCTGTCCAGCGTTCTTCAGAGGGACCATTAGCACCTTTGCCGAGACTCCAATAAGAGGCCTCCGCCCAAATCCAACATGGCAGCGCCAGCGGCTTCACAGAAGCGGCGCGAGTTCTCTGTCACGTGACGAGAACCTTTGTATCTTATTGGCTCTCGGTGGGGAACGGCCTAGAAGAAAGCGTTAACTCCCGCCCTGACTTAAAGAATCCGCAAGCAAATTCGCCGTTCTCGGGCTTCGGGGAAGGGGATGGCCCGGGCTCCGGGAAAGCTGGAGTGACTGCGCTCGGGAGGCAGCTTGTTCTCGGGAACGAGGGGGTTAACGGCGAGCCGGCCTGAGGCGGTAACCGTGGGAAGGAACCGGAGCTCGGAGCGGCGCTCGCGCCCTGCCTGAATGTCTAGGTGCGGAGGCTCGCGCTCGCCAGCCTCCGTCCTCCCCCCGCCCCCAGCTCTCGAGCCGGGCTCGCATCCTCCGCTCCCCGCGCTCCTGCTCGCCAGCCTCCGCTCCCCCCTACTTGGGGAGGACTCGCCGCGGCCCCGCCTCGTCCTGCCCGGCTTGGCGTCCCGGTCTGCCCGAGATGGAGGGCGGCGTGCTGGGGTCCCGGAGCGAGGCGGCGGTTGTTACCGTCGCCGGCGCGGCGTCGGTGGAAGGGGAGGAGGCAGGGGAGGAGGCGGTGCCACCGGGCTTGGAGGCGACGCGGCAGCGCTTCTCCCCGTTCGAGGGGGCGGAGGCCCGGGACGAGGGCGGGGGGGACTGGAGCTTCATTGACTGTGAGATGGAGGAGATCGACCTGCAGGACCTGCCCAGCGCCATCATCGCCTGCCACCTGGACCCGCGCGTCTTTGTGGACAGCCCGTGCCGGGTGAGGCTCGAGCGGGGCACCCGCGGGGGCTGGGAGGGCGTCGGGCCGCCTGCGCCCCTCGGGCCGCACGCTCCGCAGCCCCTCTGGCCGGGCTCCCGGAGGGATGGCGGCCGCAGCTGGCCGCGCAGGGGCGGGGCCGGGAGGGACACTTGTTGCCCTGCGGCCTCGGGGTGACGGGACCCGGGAGCACCGGGTGCGGTCGGGGCGACGGGCTTGGCTGGGCTGGGGCGGGTGAGGAGCGCAGAGAGCGGGAGGATGGGGCGGGGGGAGCCTCCGACCGGCTAGTGAACGATGCCACCGGGGGGGCGGGGGTCCCTGGTTTGTCCGGGGGGCTTTCAGTGGCACCTCCGCAAGCCTTGCAAATCTGGGTCCGAGCAGGAAGCTGTCCAGGGGCTTGCGCTTCTTCCCGGTTCGGCTCTAGGGCCGCTAGCCGCTTCCCACGTCTGATCGTACGGGGCCCGAAACCGTGCTGGTTAAAGACGCTCAGGGAGCCGCCCGCCTGTTGCTGTCCAGCCCAGGACCCGGGCACACCCAAAGCGGGGTTACCTGGACAGCCACAGGAGCTTTTTATAATATGACAGGAGGCCTCATCAATAAGAAACGAGCGTTCCTCTATTGAGGGGACACACGCTACTGGAAATGTTAGGAAATCGGCTAATCAGCTGTCCATAAATATTAATTAAGCTTTCACTAGGTGTGGGGTCTGTGCTAAGACCTGAAAGAGATAAACAAACTCTGCCCTCAAAGAACTTGTGTTCTAATGGGGAAATCAACTTGTGTAAAGGTAATAATAATAGCTCACATTTGTGTGTCATTTTAAGACCTTCAGAATGCTTTCCTTACCACAGTCCAATGAGTTAGTGCAAATATTATCTCCATTTTACAGATGAGGTAAGAATCTCAAGAAAGTGACTTTTCCAGGATTATCTACCTAATATGTGCTACCAGAACAAAAAGAATCATGATAATGAGCTAGTATTTATTTATGGCGGTTTCATATGTTATATTATTTGAGGACCATTGTGAAATTTGTTATGGAACTCTTTTCCAAATTTACATACAAGGAAAGCAAGTCTTGAACAGTTTAAGGAACCTGTGGTCAAACAATGGTTGAGCAAGAACTCAACAGGTCTTCTGATATTCTTTCCACTCTTTCCACTGATAAAAATCACAAGATGGTTCTCTGCCTTCTTTTAGTGCTAAGTGGCAGTGGATACAGTGCCTTAAGAAGACTTGAAATCAAATCTAGCCTCAAAAGCTTACTAGCTGTGCAACCCTGGGCAAGTCACTTAACCTCTTTCTGTTTAAGTTTCCTCAGCTGTAAAATAAGAATAATAATAGAGCCTATCTGCCTGGGTTGTTGTGAAGATAAAATGAGATATTTGTAAAGTACTTTGCAAACCTTAAAGGGCTATGTAAATGCTAGCTATTATTATTAGTGCCATATTGTCCTGTAAAGTGTGTTTGTCTAATAATTTGTGTAATCTTTCTCCTTATGGAATAGGCAATTATTTTTATTGGTCAGGAAACTGAGGCCCTGGGCAGTAAAGTGATTGTTGATGAGAAAAACAGCTCACATTTGTATTGCACTTTAAGAGTTGCAAATGCTTTCCCTGCAACAATGATATGAGGTAGACTGTGAAAGTATTATTTTTATTTTACAGATGAGAAAACTGAGGGTCAAAAATGATAGCTGACTTGTCCATGGCCACATTAAATCAGATTGGAGCTCAAATCTAGTTATCTGGTTTGGTTGACTGGGTGGAAAGAAGCAAATTTCTAAAATGCTTTTGTATTTAGTCTATTCAGGAACTAATCCTAGGGAACTAATTACTGTGTTAGAGTGATGTCAGTAACAAGCAGAATACTGAGAAAATTGATTGTGGTACTTAATATATCAGAACTTCATTTTAAAAAACCCTGCCACCAATGGGGAGAAAAGGAGGTTTTAATAATGAATGGTACTAGTTAATTTTTCATCTAAAATTTGCATCTACATGTATTCTGCTAGATAGAATTCAGGCACTAGAATTCTGTAATCGGCATTGTAGAAAGAAATTTGCCTTTGGGACTTTTTCTTTTAAAAGTGCTGGAGTTTTGTCAGCATGGATTTTAGATTACATTAACTATCCAGAGTTTATATCTGAAGGTTGCTTTCTAATATATACCCATGGAATACCTTTTATTCCATCTATACTCTGAATTTTTAGAGTAAGTCATCAATGCTTAACTTCTGTTGGCCCCATAGGTGTCTTGCTACATGAGCAAAATCGTGCTTTGCACAATGGATTTTACAATGTAGATAGCCTATGATAGACCACAAAAGCATTGCCCTTTTCCCAGCGAGAGAGAAGACACACCTAGAATCTCATCGTGATGAGTCATGAAAATGCCAGTTACCCATCCTGTGTAAATTAAGGAAGTTAGACTAAAGAATCTTTGAGGTATTTTTCAGTTCTGACATTCCATGAAAGATGAAATTGCCTTGTCCCTTTTGTAAAGGCAGTCCCACCTCCTCAGTTCTGGCTTTAGTCAAAATTAACAAGATCTTCAGAATCTCTCAGAATGGAATACTAGAACCTTTTACCCCAGTGTGTAGAGCTTATCCATTGGCTAAAATCACCATGGGCAGTCCCATGGCTTTTGTTTGTTTCAAAATTGGAGATCCTGGGTGTGGGTATCAGTCAGTGTAAGGTAGGTGTGTGTGTGTGGGTATAACTAATCCTCTCTGTTTGGGTAATGTATTTTAGGTAATTAAAGCTAACAGATCCAGTTTTAGATGGTATAAATGTAGTATGATTACATGAAGAAACTGTAAAGTCAGCAAGCATTTATTGAGTTCCTACTATGTGCCAAGCACTGTGTTAAGCACTTAAGAAAGAAAAGTCTCTGTTCTCAAAGAGCTCAGGAGGGAGAGAGTTTTAGGCGTGCCTGGGGTTGGGAGGTGAGTGACTTGTCCAAGGAACAGCAAGGAGGCAAGTGTCACTGGATGGCAAAGTAAATAGAGGGGAATAAGGTGTAAGAAGACTAGAAAGGTAGAAAAGGACAAGATTATGATGGGCTTTAAAAGCCAAACTAGAAGGTTTTATATTTGATTCTGGAGGTAATAGGAAAGCTCTGGATTTTATTGAATAAAGGACTGAGGTTTACATGGTCAGACTTGTGCTTTAGGAAGATCTATTTAACAGCTAATTGGAGGATGGACTGGAGTGAGGAGAAATTCAAGGCAGGAAGACCAACCAGAAGATTATTGCCATAGGCCAGGCATGGTAACGAGGGCCCATTTCAGAGAGACATTGAGAGTTGAAGATAGAAGAGTTGAGGTTAGAGGATGACACTTAGGTTTTGAGCCTGGAAGACTCAGAGGATAATGGTACTCTCATTAGTACTAGGGAAGTATGGAAGAGGGGAGAGTTTGGGAGACAAAATTAAGATTTTTATTTTGAATTTAAGGTGTCTACAGGACAACCCGTTTGAGATGTCCAATAGACAGTTGAAGATTTGAGACTGGAGGTCAGGAGAGAGGTTAGGGAAGGTGAGACAATAAATATTAGGTGCTTACTATGGGCCAGGTACTCAGCAAAGTGCTGAGGGTACAAAAAGGAACTCTTTGCCTTCAAGGAGTTTACATTCTAATGGAGGAAAACAACACATGAAAGGGAATTGAAAAGAAGTGGGAGGAGAAAAGTACCTGAAAGCCAGCTGTTAAAGTCTGGAAAGTCCAAAACAGAGTTAGAAGAATGAAAGTTGTCCAGCCTACATAACTCCCCAAAAAGGAGGCCTTGGGAAGGAACTTAACAATGGTTAAAAGAGGCCAGCATCATGGGGAGATGTTCCAGGGCAAGAAGACCTCAGGAGAAGATGAATGTTCCAGGGTCAAGGGATCCTAGGCATTAAGGGAAGTTCCAGAAAGAGAATATAGCTGAGGCATGGTATTGAAGTCCAGAAAGTCAGAAGCAGAGTTGGGAGTGGAATGAAGGTTGGCTGGCTTGGGCCTCTCCCCAAAAAGGAGGCCCGAGAAGTGAAGATGGGAGGGGATGCTTGAAGAGGGATACAAAGGTTTGGAAAAGGTGCAGTGGTCAGTGGAGCAGTGACTTGAATAAGGATCGCCTTGCCCCAGCACAGGCCCAGTTGAGATTATGTACCATACATTTGTAGTGGGTCCACCCACTCAACGGTTTTGTGATTTTCTTCAGCTTTATTCAGCAGCAGGTGAGTAGGAGTAAA